TCTCAATGCCCCCGTGTTAGGAAATAATTTAGAACACTTTGGGAGCTGGAAAAGCTCTGTTCATACCTAAGGAATCAGGGCAGGGGCCGCGGCCCTGCCAGGAACTTTGGCTTTTATCTGGATCCTCTCTTTCCAGGCCTCTCCATTAATTCCCCAGGTCTTTAACCTCTGGGAGAGTAGAAATGAGGAAGTGTCCCACTCTGACACTGAGTTCCCTCTTGGAACCAGACCATCAGTTCTAGAAGAACCCTTGGAAAACGTGCCGGCTCAGCCCTCTAGTTTTACAAATAAGGGAGTGCACAGCCCTGAGAGGTCAAGTGGCCTGCCCAAGATCACACAGTCAGTGGCAGAGTAAAGAGCATAGCCTAGGCCTGCCCACTCCTGTAGTAATGCTCTTTCAACTTCTCCAACCTGGCTCTCAGCCTTGTCCATCCTTAGCCCCATATCTAGCCCAACCTAGTCCAGGAAAACAGGGAAGTTGCTCTTAGAAATCTCTCTCCAAGGCCGGGCGCGGTGGCTCAAGCCTGTAATCCCAGCACTTTGGGAGGCCGAGGCGGGTGGATCACGAGGTCAAGAGATCGAGACCATCCTGGTCAACATGGTGAAACCCCGTCTCTACTAAAAATACAAAAAAATTAGCTGGGCATGGTGGCGCGTGCCTGTAGTCCCAGCTACTCAGGAGGCTGAGGCAGGAGAACTGCCTGAACCCAGGAGGCGGAGGTTGCGGTGAGCTGAGATCGCGCCATTGCACTCCAGCCTGGGTAACAAAAGTCTCAAAAAAAAAAAAAAAAAAAAAAAAGAAATCTCTCTCCAAGCTGGGTGTGGTGGCTCACACCTATAATCCCAGCACTTTGGGAGGCCTAGGCAGGGAGATCCTAAGGTCAGGAGTTGGAGACCAGCCTGGCCAACATGGTGAAACCCCATATCTACCAAAAATAGAATTAGCTGGGCTTGGTGGCAGGGACCTGTAATCTCAGCTATTCTGGATGCTGAGGCAGGAGAATCACTTGAACCCTGTAGTCAGAGGTTGCAGTGAGTTCAGACTGCGCCACTGCACTGCAGCCCGACCAGCAGTGCGAGACTCCATCTCGAAAAGAAAAGAAAAGAAATCTCTTCCCAGTCCCACCATCAGAGGCCAACTGCTGTCTTCTGCTCTCTTTCAGCTTGTGCTCTTCTCCCCCGACAGGTAGAAGACACTGTGCCTCTGGATACCCGAACAGTTCCCTGAGCTGCATCTCTTGCCAACTGCTTTAATACATCACAGCAAGATTGTGTGTGTCTCCGCCATCAGGCTGTGTGCTCCTTGATGCTCTGGGTCACCTGCATCTAGCATGGCATATGTCTTGTGTTCAATAAATGTGTAATGTACAGAACTGACTGAATTTCTCTCACTGGCAGCACCCTCTATGCAAGCCACCTACCTCTTTTCGAAAGTGGGTGATGATCTTGTGTGGTACTGAGATGACCTCTCCATGACTGGTCCGAAGGGCAGGCAGAGTTCCTGACATTGAGAGAGAAGTATACCAACCAGGCCCTTAGCTGCCTATTCACACATATTTGCAACACATTCCTGCCTATCTCATGTTCCTCCCCTTTTACACACCCTTCCTCACCCCCAAAGGATACTGGGTACCTGAAGGGCTCCGCCAGGGGTTGCTGATCTTGTGCACCTTCAGTGGAGCACCAGTAAATCTGGCATAGGTCTGCAGGGAATGAAGCAGAAGGCAGAAAGGCAGGGCCATGGTCCCCACAAGGGATATCAAGAAGAGAAATAACATTTATTGAATACCTATGTGCCATGCCCTATGCTTAGTATCCTAGTCCAGAGAAAAAAGGGGAAGACACTACCACTGCTATTTCACAAATGGACAACACAGGGCTTAGAGAGATTATGGACATGTCCATGATTACAGGGCAGTCAGGAAAATCCTTCCCTCTGTCTCCTCCCCTGTCATCCACCTGGTGAACATTTATCCTCAGAAGCTTTTCCTAACAAGTATCCCTCTTCTTGGAAGCACTGAGCATGCCTTCTCTTTGGCACAATCTGTGGTCTGTTCCTACTTATACCTGAATATTTTATTATATTTATTTGCTTACCTATCTGCCTTTATGTAAACTCAAGGGAAGGAACCAAATTTTATTCATCTTTGCACGGCAATATTTAGTATTTGGAAGAAATATAATAGATGCTTTTCAAAGCAGGAATGAATGAATAAATGAAGCTAACTAAGTCTGTCTGATTTCTAAGCTCTTTCTACAGAGCCTGGCTGAGTCGTTTGGTCCAACAAACAATAGGCTCAGTAAATGCTGTTAAGTGAGGAGGAGGAAAAGAACGGGGGTGAGGGAAAGGCAGGAATTCCAAGCCAGAGTAGGTCCCTGAGATAGTCCAGCCTAGTAAACCTCCGGATGGAGAAACAACGCCCAGAGAAGAAAAAGAATCGCCCCAAGGTCACATAGCCAGTTAATAGATGAGCAAGGACTAGAATCCAACTCCTGAACTCACGACCAGGCGTCTTTTCATTGCTGCATGAAACCTAGAAAACTACAGCACAGGGCATTGAGCCCATAGCGGCCACGTACGCTCTTTGACTGCCTCAGTTTCTCCCAATGCGCCCGTGCTGAGTAGCCCTGACAAAGTTCGGATGCTTGGCTAGTTCGGCCCCCTCCCCAGTCATCACGGCACAGCAGAGGGCGCCGGCGCCTCCCCTCACCAGCACGGCCAGGCTGTCCAGGTCCACTGACGGCAAGCCCCAACCCCCTGACCAGCAGAATAGCTCCATGGGCGCCGCCATCTTGCCCGCCCTCTGTCCCGGAAACACTTTCTTCTGTGCTCCTGCCCTCCCCTGCGCGGACCCGCCCCCCGCCACCGCCCCTCGGGCCGTGGCGGGCAGGGGGCCTGGGGAGGTCCCCGGGCAGGCGAGGCTTCTCTTGGCTCGACTGGCAGCCGCACGGCGGGGGACTGGGCCGCGGGCCTCGGGGAGGGACGGCCGCCGGCCCACCCAGAGGCGGGCCCCGTAGCGGGACAGCGCTGTCAGCCAGGCGCGCCTCGGAAAGTCACGGCGCTTCGGCTGAGTGGAGCCCCGAACCCCCGACGGCGCGGCAGGCCCAGGAGAGCGGGGTCTTGTGCGCCTAGGCCAGGTCTGGGGGCTCTTGCCAAACTGCACGTGGCCTGTACTGCTCTGGGGCCCCTCGGGGCTCGTCCCAGAGCGGGGACTGCGGGGGGGTGGTCCCCCGAGCAGCATGTTTTCCACAGCGCGTTATGTTTGGAGCAGGCCCTGCGCCGCCTGTCGCCATGGAAACAAAACAGGGGCGGTGGCGGCGGCCGGAGCGGACGCCGGACTGGGGCCTGGGTGGGGGAGGGGAGGAGAGTGGAGGCTCGCAGGCTGTTGTTGCCTAGGTAATGGAAACTCAGGCGCCCCTCTGCTTCATCCAGGTCAAGGACCGTCCGCTAGTACCTACACGGTTCCACAGTCTGGTCGTTGGCTCCTGGCCCGTCCCCCTGTCTTCTGCGCCTGTCCCTGGTGCCCCTTTTCTCTTTCTGGTTTCTTCACTCCGACCTCACTGACCACTGCTTTAGACTCTCCAGTTCCGTCAGACGCTTCCAGACTCCCAAAGTTTCCTAGAAATGAGGGAAAATGGAGAAACAGGCACGAGTCAGGGGACCCCCACCCTAATAAAGAGCACTTGCTTTGCCAAAACAGTAAACTTCATGCCATGTGGGCATCCCTGGGCACTATAGCAAGCTAGTTTTGGCCACTCCCTTGGCATCCTTTCCTGCCAGCTGTGGAATAATGCCCAGTCTAGCACTGCCCCTGGTAGGGGTTCTTGCCTTCCACAATCGTGGCTTCCAGAAAACAGTAGCATTTGGTAGCGCTGTGTGCTGAGACCCCCAACAGTGTGATGACTGCGGAAAGGGAGGCAACTAGGGGAGGACCATTAGCGGGAGGTAAGAGGCAGGGAGGCCTCCAGGACTCTTTCCCAGTGCCCCTGGTTCCCAGAGCTGATGATGCCTGCAGGGTGATTGGCAGCTCTTTGTTTCAGCCCCCCCCATCACCCGCCTGCTGGCCCCCCCCTCCGACTCCATCCCTCCGCCCCCCGGCTCCTGCTCTCTCCGCCTAGCCTTTTCCCCTCCCAGCTGCCTGCCTGCCAGGGGTAGTGAGCCGGCTGAGCGGCATGGAGACGCAGGAACTTCGGGGGGCCCTGGCTCTTCTCCTCCTTTGCTCTTTCGCATCTGCCAGTCAGGACCTGCAGGGTAAGCCTGTCTCCATCCTCTTAGACCACTCTGCCTCTTTCCCATTTGCCCCCAGCCCAAGTAGCAGAGAACATGTGGGCAAGGAGAGAGGGGAAGAGTCCAGAACTTAAGCCAGAGGAAAACGTTAGACTGCCTAGAATTGGTGAAATTATGACCTGGTGGAGAGGAGTGGGCACCAGAGGGTAGTCGGGGAGTCGGAACGGGCCAGGGTAAGGCATGAAGCCAGGGCAGAGGACTCAGGAACTGGATGCTCAGGCTGCCTGGCTGGGGTGGTGTCTGAGCATCTGTAGACACCCCAGGGTCTGGAAGAGCAGCCTGAAAGTGGGTGTACTGTGTAGGTCCCTGGGCTTCATCCCCCTGTGCTCCTGGGTGTCCAAGGACAGGGCGGGGGTGGGGACCAAGAAGCCTGGGCTCTCCCAGAGGTCTGGTGGTGGGATGGTCCCATGGGTGTGGGAGAGGTAGCTGGAGCAGATGACACAGGCATAGATTCTTTACTGGCTGGAGGGAAAACCACAGATTGGCCAGGACACAGGAGGCAGAAGAGCTGGGTCCTACATTCCCATGGGAGAGAGCCCAGATGGTGGGAGGGTCAGAGCCCTCAGTGGGCAGCTGTTCTTATCTAGAGCGATTGTGATGTGCCCTTAGGATGGGAGGAGGGACACTAGGGTGTGGAACGAGCCAAATCCAGCAGTGGAAAGAGAAGCTGCCTCCCGTTTCTGCCTTGTGGGCACCAGGTGCCACTCCTGCGGGGGATCAGCACAGCATCTCCCTTGCGCCACCTGGTGGATTCATCTCAAATTTGTGGGGTGCTGTTTCTGTTTCTAAGTGAGCCTCAAGCCTGCAGGTTCCTGGAAGATGGTAGTAGGCAATAATGGGGAAAGGAAGGCACAGTGCCTCTGTCCTCTGAGAGCAAGAGTTGAGTTTTGAGGTGACTAACGCTGCCTGATGGTGGGGGTAGGGGGTGATGTGGGCTCAGGGGAGGGCATACCTTAGCATTTGATCCCATTCTCTAACCTTGACAACCCCTGCCTGACCAGTAATTGACCTGCTGACTGTGGGCGAGTCTCGGCAGATGGTGGCTGTGGCAGAGAAGATCCGGACAGCCTTGCTCACTGCTGGGGACATCTACCTCTTGTCTACCTTCCGCCTGCCCCCCAAGCAGGGTGGTGTCCTCTTTGGCCTCTACTCTCGCCAAGACAACACACGATGGCTGGAGGCCTCTGTTGTAGGCAAGATCAACAAAGGTGACTGGTGGGCATCTCCTTTCCTGCAATGGTGACCCCCTTGAGCACTATCCCTCATCCCTACTTCCCAAGTGCTTCCTAATTCTCCTTGGCCTCCTCTGGGGACCATGGTCCCATCTGGCTGTGCTCAGACATCAGGGGCATCTGGTACAGGGTGCTTACAAGGTGGCTTTAAGAGGCCAGGTACCAAACAATAGGGTGAAGCTTGAGGCCTGGTATTTATAGGGATGGGTTGTACTTGGGATGCCTGGAGGGAGGGTGAGGCATGTCTTTGCCTCAGCAGTGATATAGAAAGGTCCTTCAGATCACTGGCACAGTTCAGTGGGCACAAAACCAGCTGTCACCCTAGGAGAGGATAGAGTCATCTAATACCACTGAAGACTAAGACAGTCTTAGTCTCCAAACTAATTTTTTATTTTTATTTTTTTAATTTTGGTTCCCATACCAGGAGTCGAACCTGGGCCACCTGGGTGAAAACCAGGAATCCTAACTGCTAGACTATATGGGAACCAGTTGTTTTTTTTTTTAAACGGCATCTCACTCTGTCACCTAAGGTGGAGTGCACTGGCACAATCTCAACTCACTGTAACCTCCGCCTCCCAGGTTCAAGCGACTCTCCTGTCTCAGCCTCCCAAGTAGCTGGGACTACAAGCTGCCCACCACCAAGCCTGGCTAATTTTTGTAATTTTAGTAGAAACAGCGTTTCATCTGGTTTTTGGTAAGAAAGAAACTAAAATATATATATAAAGAAAAAAAGAAACAGCGTTTCGAATGTTGACCAGGCTATTCTCAAACCCCTGACCTCAGGTGATCTGCCCACCTTGGCCTCCCAAAGTGCTAGGATTACAGGCGTGAGCCATCACGCCCAGCCTCTAAACCAATTTGAAAAACATTTATTGTGTACCTATTACATACAAGGTGCTGAGAGCTACATAGTAGAATTAGGGATGGGAGCCCTAGAGATGTATCCAGCAGAGTTGATCCAAGTCTCAACTGGGAGGCAGGGGATGAGGGGACAGTGCCCATACTGATCTCCCCTCCTGGGCAGTACTGGTGCGGTACCAGCGGGAGGATGGCAAAGTCCACGCCGTGAACCTACAGCAAGCAGGCCTGGCCGATGGGCGCACACACACAGTTCTCCTGCGACTCCGAGGCCCCTCCAGACCCAGCCCTGCCCTACATCTCTATGTGGACTGCAAACTGGGTGACCAACATGCAGGCCTTCCAGCACTGGCCCCCATTCCTCCAGCAGAGGTCGACGGGCTGGAGATTAGGACTGGACAGAAGGCTTACTTGAGGATGCAGGTGAGCTGGGAGGAGCCTCTGAGTTCTGTGGAAATAGAGTTTGCACCAGTTGGGGAAGGGGTTGGTAGACCTTCCCACCTTATTCTGCTGCTATCCCCCCAGGGCTTTGTGGAATCTATGAAAATTATTCTGGGTGGGTCCATGGCCCGGGTAGGAGCCCTGAGTGAGTGTCCATTCCAAGGGGACGAGTCCATCCACAGTGCAGGTAACACAGACTTGTTTGCTGACATTGGACCACAGGCCCTGTGGCCTTTGGTGAATCCTGTCTTCTCAACCTCCCTCTCAACACCCATTCCTTTGGCTCACCTTCCTGGGGGTTTCTAACTCTGTTATTCCAAATCTTCGACCTGACTCCACAATCTCCAGTACAGCCATCCCAGAAAACAACAAAGCGATCCAAGAGAGGAATATCACTGAGGAACTCTGGAAGGGATGGGAGAGAAAGAAGTTAATTGCTTGGTCTTGGCTGACTGAGAGATTCTGGTCTTGAGTCTTTTTTTTTTTTTTTTGGAGACAGTCTTGCCCTGTCACCCAAGCTGGAGTGCAGTGGTGCAGTCTGGGCCACTGCAACCTCCGCCTCCAGGGCTCAAGTGATTCTCCTGCCTCAGCCCCCCGAGTAGCTGGGATTACAGGTGCCTACCACCACGCCCAGCTAATTTTTATAATTTTAATAGAGACAGGGTTTTACCACATAGGCCAGGCTGGTCTCGAACACCTAACCTCAAGCAATCCAACCACCTTGGCCTCCCAAGGTGCTGGGATTACAGGCGTTGGCCACCATACCTGGCCTGGTCTTTTTTAGTTCTCACTGGCAGCTGTCACCAGCAATTTCTCTGAGCATTACCCATTGCCTGGTCTCTCTGGCAGGATTGTTCAGAAGCTCTCACCTAAATCAAATACCCACCTTTCCCAGAGATTTCAGAGAGAGAGAGCACTTGAAGGGAATGGGATGACCAGGTGTGGTGGCTCACGCCTGTAATCCAAACACTTTGGGAGGCTGAGGTGGGCAGATCACTCAAGGTCAAGAGTTCAAGACCACCCTGGCCAATGTGATGAAACCTCATTTCCACTAAAAAATACAAAAAATTAATCGGGCATGGTGGTGGGTGCCTGTAGTACCAGCTACTTGGGAGGCTGAGGCTGGAGAATGGCTTGAACTCTGGAGGTAAAGGTTGCAGGGAGCTGAGATCGTACCACTGCACTCCAGCCTGGGCAACAGAGCAAGACTCCATCTCAAAAAAAAAAAAAAAAAACGTTGGGGAGAATGGAAGGTACTGGGGCCCTGGCCCTGCTTTGGGTCCATCCCTTCTGCCACTCCGATTTCTAGAAACCAGGAGGATTTGGGTTTTGACTTCCTATGAAGCAACTCCCTTAGAGGGTCCTTTGCCCTGTGGAAGGAGCTGGCACTCCTTGTCTGCCAGCTCTGCCCTCCCACCATTCAGCACCCCATCTTTATTCTGAGGCTCCAGCCCTGTCCCTGCCTTCCGTCCTCCTCGCCAGCCAGGCCTCTCTTCATATCACCTCACCCCTCTGACTCTGTTTTCTTCTCCTCTCCAGTGAGCAATGCACTGCACTCCATTCTAGGTGAGTAGGCCACGCTGAAGCGGAAGGGGCAAGGGGGGAGGAGGACCCAGGCTCTGGCAGCTGCCTCAAACTGAGTCGTCTTCAGTCAAGAATGTAGAAGGTTTAAAGGCAGGAGTGGGCAGCCATGGCAGGTGCTGGCTTATTGCCTACAAAGGGCCCTGGACTGGTACCCCACTACTGAGCCCCTCACACCCTGGGTCCTGACAGGGGAGCAGACCAAGGCGCTGGTCACCCAACTCACCCTCTTCAACCAGATCCTGGTGGAGCTGCGGGATGATATCCGAGACCAGGTTCGGGTGGGCCAGTGAAGGGTGGCACTGATTCTGGGGTGGGGTGGCAGATGCCAAGTGCTGACTCCTCCCCATCCTTCCCCAGGTGAAGGAAATGTCCCTGATCCGAAACACCATCATGGAGTGTCAGGTGTGCGGTGAGTGGGAGTGTAGGGGAGGCTCCAGATGACAGGGCCATGTTCCCTACCCAATGGCTTCAGCTTCCCGTTCTGGTGGCTTAAGTGGTGACCACCGGCTAGCTCTGACTGTGTCCACCCCTCAGGCTTCCATGAGCAGCGTTCCCACTGCAGCCCCAATCCCTGCTTCCGAGGCGTGGACTGCATGGAAGTATACGAGTACCCAGGCTACCGCTGCGGGCCCTGCCCCCCCGGCCTGCAGGGCAACGGCACCCACTGCAGTGACATCAATGAGGTGGGGGAGGGCAGAGCCCAGAAGGGTACAGAAAACTGGGGTGAGGACGTCAGGAGGGGCCCAAGAGGGTGGGATAAATGCTGGTCTGGAGGAGAGGAATCTAGAGTTTAGGAGCAGTCAGAGACAAGAAGAGAAATGCAAGATGGGAGAGAGAGAAAGCCCGGGGCAAAGACTGAAGGCCACACAGGGAAGGAGCTGGGAAGCGGCAGGGGAGGCTTGAGATGGCCACCAGGGGCTTGGGGAGGGAGCCAGGGAACCCCAAGGGAGGCGGGGTGGGGACCAGAAGCACAAGGCGATTGTGTGGAGAGGTTTGGAGCAATGGTTCTTGGATCACAGGCAGGGTCCTGAGTTTCCCAGAAGGCAGCCTGACCTCTGCCTTCTCGTCTGGTCCCCAGTGTGCTCACGCTGACCCGTGTTTCCCAGGCTCCAGCTGCATCAACACCATGCCCGGCTTCCACTGTGAGGCCTGTCCTCGAGGGTACAAGGGCATACAGGTGTCTGGTGTAGGCATTGACTATGCCCGGGCCAGCAAACAGGTCAGACTGGGTAATGTGTGTGGACAAGGGATCTTGGCCTTGTAGAGGCCAGGGGCTTCTGGGTTGGACATGGGACCCTTGTGATGTATGGGGCAGGGATGGCTTTGCATCGGCTTTGGGTCTGGGCTTAATGTTGATGTTCACAGATAAGGCCATACCAGTGCCCTCTGCTGTATCTGAGGAGACCCACCATAGGTCTGGTTCCACCCAAAGTCTGCCCCTTCAGGTCTGCAATGACATCGATGAATGCAATGATGGCAACAATGGTGGCTGTGACCCAAACTCCATCTGTACCAACACTGTGGTGAGCTGAATACCCTGAGAGTATTCTAGACTGATGGGAATGGTAAAATCCCACCCCCCACCCCTTTTTACCTTCAGATTTCCTGCTGCCCTTCCTCCTCCGCAGGGCACTACACAGATTAGGTGTTCATACAGACTTGGTTTGGAATACTGGTTTGCCTCTTGCTAGCTCTTTGGCATATTATTTAACTTTTCTGAGACTCAGCTTTCTCATTGGAAAACTGGGGCTGTTATCCACCCTGAAAGGTTGTCATGAGAACCTAACGGAGATGCTGCTACACCTGACATAGCTGAACGCCCAGCCCACACCCGGAAGGTGGGGCAGTGCTGGTTCTGGGTGCCTGGTGGGCTCCTTCCTGACGCTGCCGCTCCACTCTTAGGGCTCTTTCAAGTGTGGTCCCTGCCGCTTGGGTTTTCTGGGCAACCAGAGCCAGGGCTGCCTTCCAGCCCGGACCTGCCACAGCCCAACCCACAGCCCCTGCCACATCCATGCTCACTGTCTCTTTGAACGCAATGGTGCAGTGTCCTGCCAGGTGAGCTAGGCTTCAGGCGTGGAAGGAAAAGGGGAGTCTGGGGGAAGGGGTAGGGCTCTGTTTAGGGCCTGGATTGGGGGCCTTCATGGGAGAGAGCTGGGCCTGGGCCTGGGGAACTGGTTGGTGGGGAGACAGAACCTGAAGCAGGGAAAATAGAGGGAGGAGGGGAGCCGGCCCAAACTGCTAGCTCCTACCCTTTATGTTGCCCAGTGCAACGTGGGCTGGGCTGGGAACGGGAACGTATGCGGGACTGACACAGACATCGATGGCTACCCAGACCAAGCACTGCCCTGCATGGACAACAACAAACACTGCAAACAGGTGCAGGGGGCAGGTGGGCGAGGGAGCGCGGCGGGGAGCCCAGGCTGGGTCAGGCAGAACTCATCATCCTTTTCCTCTGAACTTTAGGACAACTGCCTTTTGACACCCAACTCTGGGCAGGAAGATGCTGATAATGATGGCGTGGGGGACCAGTGTGATGACGACGCTGATGGGGATGGGATCAAGAATGTTGAGGTGACTCTCAGACTGCCCGGCCCCTGGAAGCTCCTCTACTCTGCTCCTGTCCTCTCAGTGCCTTTCTTACCTCATCCGGCAGCTCTCTAGGAAGGGCCCAATACCCCAAATTAGGGAGGCAAAAACCTTGTGCCCAGGACAAGGAGGTTGGGTGGGTGGGACCATGCCAAGCGGTTTGACCAGCATAAGGTTGTGATCTTAGAAAAGGCTACAGTGACAAGGTAGGTGCAAGATGACAAGTGGTTTAGGGGTGCTGACTCTTCCCCTCCCACCCCTCTGCCCAGGACAACTGCCGGCTGTTCCCCAACAAGGACCAGCAGAACTCAGATACAGATTCATTTGGCGATGCCTGTGACAACTGCCCCAACGTTCCCAACAATGACCAGAAGGACACAGATGGCAATGGGGAAGGAGATGCCTGTGACAACGATGTGGATGGGGATGGTGCAGGCCTGGGGCTGAAGGGGAGGCTGGGGGACCTGTAGGAATTTGAATCGCGTGGGGATGAAGCAGGGAAGCTAGGAAGTCTCTGTGAACTGGGGAGGCAGGCTTGTGGAAGTTGGAGAGATTACCTGCAGCAGATGTCAGTGGGAATGTGAGGTAGGATGTAGCGTTAGGCAGAGTGTGGACTAGAGGTGAGACAAGAAACAGGCAGATTTCCTGACCAGTTGTCCTCCGGGTGGGTCCTGAGAAAAAGTTCAGGACTTTCACCAACCTAGAAGAGAGAGTATGGCATGTTCTAGTAATAACCTTGTGCTTCCCATGTCTTCTAGGCATCCCCAATGGATTGGACAATTGCCCTAAGGTCCCCAACCCACTACAGACTGACAGGGATGAGGACGGGGTGGGAGATGCTTGTGACAGCTGCCCTGAAATGAGCAATCCTACCCAGGTACAGGGGGATGGTAAGGGCAGGGGAGGGATGAGGATACTGGTGGATGAGGCCCCAGCCCTTTGGATGGGAAATGGTCAGATCACCCTCTTGAGTTATCAAGAGAAGATGGTGAGAACAGGTCCCTCTCTCTCAGACAGATGCAGACAGCGACCTGGTGGGGGATGTCTGTGATACCAACGAAGACAGGTAAGGTCTTAGCCAAGAGATGCAAGGTCTTTCTTTCTTTTTTTTTTTTTTTTGGAGATAGAGTCTTATTCTGTTGCCCAGGCTGAGTGCAATGGCATGATCTTGGCTCACTGCAACCTCCGCCTCCCAGGTTCAAGCAATTCTCCTGCCTCAGCTTCCCCAAGTAGCTAGGACTATAGGCGCATACCACCATGCCCAGCTAATTTTTTGTATTTTTAGTAGAGATGGGGTTTCACTGTTAGCCAGGATGGTCTTGATCTCCTGATCTTGTGATCTGCCTGCCTCAGCCTCCCAAAGTGCTGGGATTACAGGCGTAAGCCATCACATCCGGCTTTTTTTCTTGGAGACAGAGTCTCTCTGTCACCCAGGCTGGAGTACAGTGGTGCAATACTGGCTCGCCGCAACCTCTGCCTCCTGGGTTCAAGTGATTTTTCTGCCTCAGTCTCCTGAGTGTCTGGGATTACAAGCATGTGCTACCAAGCCTGGCTGTTTTTTGTATTTTTAGTAAAGACGGGATTTCATGGTGTTGCCTAGGCTGGTCTTGAACTCCTGACCTCAGGTGATCTGCCCACCTTGGCCTCCCAAAGTGCTAGAATTACAGGCGTGAGCCACTGCACTTGGGCCATAGTATATTCTTAATTCCCTCTATGATTTAGCCTTAATTTTTGATTGCTATTAAGCAGTAAGTCATTCTTATAGTCTACCCTCAATTCCCACTGCCGGACCTTCACCTCATCTGGCTGATTGCCAGGGGTCTGATTGGTTGGAGAGTAGACTCCAGAGGCTCCTATGCAGAAGCAAGGGGAAGGACAAGGAGTACCTTTAAAGCCTTTATTTGGTTCTTGTTCTTCTGAGCAGCGATGGGGATGGGCATCAGGACACCAAGGACAACTGCCCACAGCTGCCGAATAGCTCTCAGCTGGACTCAGACAACGATGGATTTGGAGATGAGTGTGATGGTGATGATGACAATGATGGCATCCCAGATTATGTGCCTCCTGGTCCTGATAACTGTCGCCTGGTACCCAATCCCAATCAGAAGGACTCAGATGGTAAGCATGGGGACCCAGAGTGCATTAGACTGGTGTTGCCTTTGCCCAGAGGGAGGCAGCAAGCCCTGTTGGGAAGTGAGGAAGGGCAGGGTGGGGAAAGAAGTCAGAAATGCAAGGCCCAACAGGTGGTATTGCTGCCTAGTGGCAGTGGGCAGGGCCTTCGTGAGTACCCAGCCTCACTCTGTGCAGGCAATGGCGTCGGTGATGTGTGTGAGGATGACTTTGACAATGATGCTGTGGTGGACCCCCTGGATGTGTGTCCCGAAAGTGCAGAGGTAACGCTTACGGATTTTCGGGCCTATCAGACCGTCGTCCTGGATCCTGAGGGTGATGCTCAGATTGACCCAAACTGGGTTGTGCTGAACCAGGTACTCGGGGCACTGGGATGGGCAGGTGCTATCAGACAGGGCTACCGAGGGAGCCTGGGAAGGACAGCACACCTGCATCACAGCTTTTTTCTTTACTGTACAACCCCAGGGCATGGAAATCGTTCAGACCATGAACAGTGACCCTGGCTTGGCAGTTGGTATGTAAGGGATACCCAGTTCAATAACTTCCAAATGGAGGAATCTTATAGGGGCAGAGGGTAGGGGAGGAAACAGACAGGGAGAATGGGCAAAGTGGTGAGAGAGAAGGCAGTGGTACAAGCTGGCCACGCACATAGCAGGCATCCCTTCCCAACCTCACCCCATGATGGGCCACCAGGAGCTTTGCTACTCCTGACCTTTATCCCACCCCCACCCCAGGATACACGGCCTTCAATGGTGTGGACTTTGAAGGCACCTTCCATGTGAACACAGTGACTGATGATGACTATGCGGGCTTTCTCTTCAGTTATCAAGACAGCGGCCGCTTCTACGTGGTCATGTGGAAGCAGACGGAGCAGACCTACTGGCAGGCTACACCCTTCCGGGCGGTTGCCCAGCCAGGGCTGCAGCTCAAGGTCCCCAGCAGCCTAGATTCCCCAACCCTGGGTCCTTTCTCAAAGTTCTCCCGTGCAGCCCCAGGGCCTCCTCCCCTGCCTGACTGGGAGCCCTCTTACCCAGACATCTGGCATGGAGGCTGGCTCTCTGGGACCCAAAGCATTTTCGTGACCACCTAGACTCCCTTTCCCACCTGCACTTACCGACCTGTTGTCTCCCTTCACTCCAGTTCTGCAGTTGACCCACTGTCTTTGCCAATGTCCCCCAGGCAGTGACATCAGTGTCTGGCCCAGGTGAGCACCTCCGGAATGCCCTGTGGCATACTGGCCACACCCCTGATCAGGTACGACTGCTGTGGACAGACCCACGAAACGTGGGCTGGCGGGACAAGACCTCCTATCGCTGGCAGCTTCTGCACCGGCCTCAAGTTGGCTACATTCGGTAAGGAGAGGGGCTGAGCCCACTTGTGGGACTCAGGTCGGGCCTGTCCTTCCGCTTTAGCTGGGACTCACCAGTGGCCTCTCCATGGGTGGGGACTGCAGCCGCTTCTCTCCATCTCCCTTCTCACTGCAGACACAAGCACCTATGAGTGATGTTGGTGAAGTCACTCCTCCTCATGACCCATTTTCCCCTTTGTAAAATAAGGGCATTGGGTTAGATGCCCTTTACAGTTCTCCAGAAGCCTCCAAACCCAGGCCAATCTGTGGAGAGGCACATCACATCTGGCCACTTAATTGGAATGGCCTGGAACCTGCCTTATCAACCTGGATAAGAATGATCTGACCTGGAAGGGATCATCATTTACAGAAGAGAAAACCAAGGCCCTGACTTCACAGGCCTCGGTTCAGCACTTTGTCCACAACTTCGCATTTCCATCCCACAAGTAGCCCTAGTTGGTGGGGATGAACGGGAAGGGGAGGGGAAGTGGGTCTGCTTATAGGCTGCACTTTCTATGGCCAAGAGCCCAGAGTCCAGGAACCTGGGTTGGTTCCCCTTTAAGGTGCCTGGGGCTGTGGGGTGCCAGGACAGGGGATAAAAGGGGGTGGACTAGAGCCTGGGAAGCGGGTGACTTCACCCCCCAGCCCATTGTGCTTATCGTCATGGCAACCCAATCCTCGCTTGGAATGCGGCTGGTGCTTTGAGATGCAAAAGGAGCTGGACAAAGAGCTAGGGGCCCCAGGCCTGAGAAAAGCACCACCCTTCCCTCTCCTTTCCTGCCTCCCTTTCCCTCCCTCCCTTCTCTCTCAGGCCTGGTGAGCCCAAGGGGGGGCTGGGGAAAAGCAAGGCCCCAGGCCTGGTGGCACAGTGCCCACTGGCACCCTAGCACCCATGGACATTCCTGGAATCTTGGACAGGGTGAAGCTCTATGAAGGACCCCAGCTTGTGGCAGATTCTGGGGTGATCATTGACACATCCATGCGAGGGGGGCGTCTTGGTGTATTCTGCTTCTCTCAAGAAAACATCATTTGGTCCAATCTCCAGTATCGATGCAATGGTGAGGTGGCTGATTGAGATCAAGCTGATCTTTCATGCCTTGTGGGAGAGCCACAACCTGACCTAACTTATTTTCCCTTCTTCAGACACAGTGCCTGAGGACTTTGAGCCATTCCGGAGACAGCTGCTCCAGGGAAGGGTATGAGGAGGAGGCCACTGGATTGAGAATTCAGAATTTTAGACCCTTCGGCCTTGGGGTCCATCCTGGAGACCTTGAGGTCTAAGCTACAGCCCCTCAGCCAACCACAGACCCTTCTCTGGCACCCAAAAGGAGTTCAGCCCCAGAGGGGTGGTCGCCCCACTGTTCAGGGGGTGAGAAGTTTTCAAGGGGTATTACTCAGGCACCAACCCCTGGAAAGATGACAGCACATTGCCATAAAGTTCTGGTTATTTTCTAAGCCAGTGCAACTGCTTATTTTAGGGATTTTCCGGGATAGGGAGGTGAAGTGGAAGGAATCAGGGAGTAGGGGAGAAAGGCTGGGAGGGTGGAAGTTAGGGATCTAGAGGAAGTTTGGCTGATTTAGGGGTGCGGGTGGGGAAGGTGCTGGATGGAGTTAAGCGAAGGATAGGGTGTCTGTCGGAGGATGCCCTAAGTCCTCCCAGCCCCATTTACTCACGGTGGCAGCCGCAACACTCCAGTCTATCAGAGATCCGCCGGGATGGGGAGCCAGGAGGGCGGGGGCTGCTCCGCTGGGGGCAGGTGGAGGCCGGGGGGCCGGGGGGGCCGGAGGCCGGGACGAGTGCAATATTGGCAGGGGAAAGAACAACACTGCACCGCGTCCCGTCCCTCCCGCCCGCCCGGGGCCCGGGATCCCGCTCCCCATCGCCTGAAGCCGGCCCGACCCGGGAACACGGGGCGCGCTGGGGAGCTGGGTTCACCTTGGAGCCCAGAGAGACTTGGCGCCCGGAAGGCGAAGGGAATGGTAAAGGGGAGGGGGTAGGGAGAGTGGAGTTCGCGGAGTCCCGGAAGGCCGCTTTCCGACGCCCGGGCGTTGCGCGCGCTTGCTCTTTAAATACTCAGACTGCGCGGCGCGGAGCCGTCGCCATGGTGACGCGTGTCCCAGCAACCGAACTGAATGGCTGTTGCCTGGCAATGTCGGGAGTTGCGGTTTGTTGCCGCCCACCTAGCTACTTGGGTTTTCTCCGGCCTGGGAGTGGGGGGCTCCCCGCCTCCCCGGCCCGCGCGTCCGGGCGCGCTGACGTCAGACGCCCCCACCCCGCCCCGCGCCCGCCCCCGGGTCTTGCCGCGCACAAAGCCTCGCCTCGGGGGCCCGAGAGGCGCGCGGGCGGGAGAGGTGGTTTCTCGCCCGGTGACCCAATGCTCTCCAATCCCGTGCCTCGCTGAAGTGTTTTTAAAGTGTTCCTTCCAATCTGTGTCGTTGGGGCTGAGAACTGTTTCCCAAATACAGTCGGAACTGCTTCCGTCGCCCTAGACCGCAGCAAGCGACGGCTGGACCCAAGTTCCACGTGCCGCCGCGGCCCAGGATAGCTTCCTCCTCTGGCGCACCGCTGGCCGCACACACCTCCCGTGTGCTTTTGCCCCCCACTGCGTGCCTACCTGTCCCCAACACCACTCTGCTCCTCAAAGGATAGTTCTGTGTCCCTAAATCCCATTGTCACCCCACCTACTCTCTGCCTCTTAAGTACATAACGGCCCACACAGAACGGGTCCAACTCCCCCGACCACGTTCCAATGTCCTCTCCCACATATCTTGGTGCCCCTTCCACGTACCTCAGGACCCCACCCGCTCGGCTCCACATCCTCCAGACGCCACCACCACGCCCTCCCGAAGTGCCCCTCCTAAAGCTCCCAGCCGTCCACCATGCTGAGCGTTCCTCCCTTCCTGGCCACGGCAGTGACCCTTCTCTCCCGGGCTCTGCCTCCCTCTCGCGGGGTCTCTCTGCCTCAGGTAGCGCTGCCCTAACTCCTCTCCATCCGGTCCGAGCGGCCCCTCAGCCGGCGCCGTCCGGCCCCGCAAGGCTCCTGGTGACCACTAGAGGGCGGGAGCTCCTGGCTAGCAGTGGAGGGTGGCAAGGGACGACCCTAGGGTTCATCAGAGCCCAGGTTTCCTCCTTTAAGCGGAAATTTCTTTCCCCATTCTCTTCTCGGGAGAAACCCAAGGAGGGAACCCAGGCTGCTGGAAAGTCCGGCTGGGGCGGGGACTATGGGTTTCAGGATAGAAACTGCGTGTGGAACGGGACAGGGAGCGGTTAGAAGGGTGGGGCTATTCCGGGAAGTCGTGGGGGCAGGGAGCCCAAAACTAGCACCTATTGCACTCATTATCCGGCCCTCTTATTTCTTCTCGGCCCCGCTCTGCTTCAGTGGGTCCAGGGAGGGCCGGAAAGTGGAGTGGGAGACCTAGGGGGAGCTTTCTGGCCTTGCTGTCCAGGACCTCGACCTAGCCGGCTGTGTTCCCCATTCCCACCTTAGTTGTTGCCCTGGGGCTAAAACTAGAGCCCAGGAGCCCCAGGTTCCAGACTGGCCCTCTGCCCTTCCCCCTGGAGCCAGGGAGTGGTTGGTGAAAGGGGGAGGCCAGTTGGAGAAGAAACGGGGTTGTCAGGGGGTTGAGTGATTAAAGCCCATTCCCTAGCCAGGAATGGTTGGGGAGGAGGAAGAGGTAGGAGGTAGGGAAGGGGGAGGGGGCGGGGTTTTGTCACCTGTCACCTGCTCTGGCTGTGCCTAGGGCGGGCAGGGGGGGGACCGGTATAAAGCAGCAGGCGCCTGTGCCCGCTCCACCTCTCAAGCAGCGCCTGCCTGAGTCTGTTCTGCCCCCTCCCCACCCAGTTCACCACCACCATGACACCGGGCATCCAGTCCCCTTTCTTCCTACTGCTGCTGCTCATAGTGCTTACAGGTGAGAGGCACAAGGGGGGAGTGGGCTGCCCTGCATAGGTGGTCTTTGTGCTCTTTCTGTGGGTTTTGCTCCCTGGCAGATGGCATCATAAAAGGCAAGAATTGCAGACAGAGGCTGCCCTGTCTGTGCCAGGATGAGGGAGAGGCTAAGGACAGGCTGTGAAGAGGTGCCCCCCACCCTGAGAGTGGCTGCAGGGGCAAGCAAATGTCCTGAAGAGAAGTCTCAGAGGAAAGGAGTAGGGAGAGGGAAGGCTTAGGAGGGAGAAATGCACAGGCCAGCAGCTGAGGCCTGTGGGCAGAGAAGGAGGAGGTCGCAGGTACGGAGCCGGCCAACCCAGGGGCTGCCTGAGGCTGCCCACTCCCCAGTCCTTTGGTATTATTTCCCGGTGGCTAGAGCTTGTATGTTCTTCTTTTGTCCTCCAACCCAACCCTGTGACTTCAACATCTTATAGCTGCCACAGACCCTACAGCAGTTTTGTTTTTTTTTTAAAGACAGGGTTTCACCACGTTGGTCAGGCTGGTCTTGAACTCCTGACCTCAGGTGATCTGCCCGCCTTGGCCTCCAAAGTGCTTGGATTACAGGCGTGGACCACCACGCCCGGTCCTTACAGCAGTTCTTACAGGTTCTGGTCATGCAAGCTTTACCGAAGGTGGAGAAAAGACGGGGACTACCCACAGAAATTCAGCACCCAGCTCTACCAGGAATGTTGTGAGTGTGACCAGCAGTGGCATCTCCAGCCATAGCCCTGGTTCAGGCTCCTCTACTATTCAGGGACAGAACCTGATCCCGGCCCTAGCCACCACACTAACCTCAGGTTTGGCTGCCACTGGGGGACAGGATGTCTCCTTGACCCCAGCTCCGGGCTCCACCACTGCTCCAGCCCACCACGGCACCTCGGCCATGGACACCGGGCCAGCCTCTGGCTCCACCACCGCTCCAGCCCACGGCTCCACTACCGCTCCAGCCCACCACGGCACCTCGGCCACGGACACCGGCCCCGCCCCAGGCTCCACCACCACTCCAGCCCACCATGGCACCTCGGCCACGGATACCAGGCCAGCCTCCGGCTCCACCACTGCTCCAGCCCACGGCTCCACCATCAGTCCAGCCCACCATGGCACCTCAGCCACGGATACCGGGCCAGCCTCTGGCTCCACCACCGCTCCAGCCCACGGCTCCACCATCAGTCCAGCCCACCATGGCACCTCGGCCACGGACACCGGGCCAGCCTCCGGCTCCACCAC